ATGGGAAGAACAGTTCGATTATAATTCGCTGCCACTTTGGAGCGAATGTCAGGCGGCCCTCAACAGACGATATCAACGTAAAATAAAAATTTTTCAAGTCTCTACCTTTGAGCTAAGCGAGCAATTTGCACTGACTTAAATACACAAAAAAAAAACATTGGTTGGAAGCAATGGTAGAAGAAATGAAAGAATGACTCCAATCATAGGACTACGTGGTCAGAAGATAGTAATCGGCGATAAAGAAAAAAATCTTTAAAAATCGAAATAATAGAGCTTGGGAATTGGTATAGGCTTTCACGAGCGGGAAATCTGTCGAAATCTTCCGGCTGTGAGAATATGGTGCTAAAACAATAAAACCAAATTATATAATTAATTATGGGAAAAATTAGCTATGAGATTGAAAGAAACGCTGCCACTGCACAACTCATAACAAATTACAAAATGTAAACAAATTGATGTTGTTTCTGTAGTTTAACAATAATACAATAATCCTAGCAGTTCCGGGACCGTGGAAACAAAAATGTTGAGCTGGCTTAACGATTAAGATTAAAACACATGCGCCATAAGCAGATTAATTCACGGCAACTTAAAAGGCTCTGCAAATAAAATTTTACGCATGGGCTTCATCAAAACTGCTTCATAAAGCATCCATTTTAGAGATACATAAACCAGAATTGAGTACTTTCCAAAACCGCTGTAGCTTGTCTTCACTGATCCAAACCCGAATGTATTGCTTCGTAAATGTTTCCGTGCTGTTTAATACTCATTAAGCATGCTTAGCTCTTGCTAAGGCCAAAGATCTTCATTAGTCAAGGTCAAGCTTAAGAACCATTTAAAAAAAAATTAAATGGGTTTCAGATTTTAGGTTTTCTTGCTTGAGGAGACATAAGAGACATAAATAAGAGGACTTAGACAGTTTAATTTGTAATATTCACAGTCTGATTGATATATGGAGTGCCCGTTTTGTGAACTCTACGGTCTGAACTGGTTATCTGAACTATTCTTTCAAAGCATGACGTAGCTTCTCTAGCAGCAGTACCCGTTGGCGAACTCTTCGTTCTTCAGCTGCAAACTCGTCAACGCGATTCCGTCTCTAGCCACTGTTACGGCATTTGAACTCTGGCACAGACTGACAAAGTTATTAATTTGCAATTGTTCAGTTGCTTAATGCCAGCTGGCCAAAAGACAAAAAATTTAGCAATATTGGCGAAGGTCCACCAAGATGACAGCGGCAAAGTTCAATGCAAATGCAACAGCTTCAAGCATCTTGTTGCTGGCCACTGCCACTAGCTTCTGGCTGGCCACCTTTTAGCACATCATTTATACAAGTGGCTAACTGACTTTGCTGACCTTTTGGCCAAGATAACTGCAATCTCAATCATTGGGTAGGCGATGCAACTTTAAGGCTGCTGGATTCGGCTTGGTTTATGTCAAAAGCCCCCTAATGTCAACTGATGCACAGGTTATGCAATGATGTTTTCTAGGGCTTAAGTTACAGAACTACTTATTTTGTATACCCTTGTAATTTCACTCAGAAGTTACCAGCGCATTGAAGGAGACATTTCTTACCCCATAAAGTATATATATTCTTGACCAGCATCACTACGAAAGTCGATCTAGCCTTGTCCGTCTGTCCGACTGACCGTTTCTATTCAAAATAGTCTCTCGGTTTAAAGCTATCTGTATGAAACTTTTCAAAAAATTGTCTTCGTATTGCAGGAAATATATAAGCAGGAACGAGCCGGATCGGACGACTATATCATATAGCTCCCATAGGAACAATTGAGAAAAAAAAATGAAAATATAACTTTACTGGTCTTTTGTTAGTTTTTAGATATATAGTAATGGTTTATTATTTTAGAACTACGATTTTAATTTGATCAAAATCCTAGTCATCTTGATAAGGAATATATATACTTTATAGGGTCGCAAATGTCTTCTTCACTGTTGCAAACATCTGACTAAAATTATAATGCCCTCTGCAATGGTACACCCAAACTAAACTATTGTTACACGAATTTTAAACTATTGTGTATCAAAAATTTCTCAATAAGATGAGAATTAATTTAATAAGTTCGAAAGTATATAAATAAAACTTTCGAGGTAATCAATTTTATACTCACAGGTTTATCATTATCATTATACCGACACTCCTAGTTTCGTTTTCATACTCTTAAGTATAAAATACATACCGTGTAAATGTTATAAAGCTTACATATAACAAGAAAGCAAGCAAACTTCGGCAAGCCGAAGTTCATATACCCTTGCAGCTATTTCAAAAACTAAATACTCTTTAAAACGTTTAAATTATGATTTACTTGCGTGTATGTTTAAAAACATTGAAGCTATAATGATTTGCAGCTTAATTATTCGATAGTTCCTATGGCAGCTATACGATTGTTCCTATGGGAGCTATATGCTATAGTCGTCCGATTTTGATGAAATTCAAACCGTAATTCTGAAATATTTAACCATTACTATATATCGAAGAACTAAAAAAACAATTAAAAAACACCAAAGTTATAATTTTTTTAAATTTATTTTTATGATTATTCCTATGGGAGCTATATGCTATAGTCGTCCGATTTTGATGAAATTTAAACCGTAATTCTGAAATATTTAACCATTAAGATATGTCGAAGAACTAACAAAAAAATTAAAAAACACCAAAGTTATAATTATTTTAAAATTTACTTTTCCGATTGTTCCTATGGTAGCTGTATGCTATAGTAGTCCGATCCGGCTCGTTCCGACTTATATCCTACCTGCAATAGAAAGAAAACTTTTGGGAAAGTTTTATGCAGATAGCTTTAAAACTGAGAGACTAGTTTGCGTAGAAACGGACGGACAGACGGACGGACAGACGGACATGGCTAGATCGACTCTCCTAGTGATGCTGATCAAGAATATATATACTTTATAGGGTCGGAGATGTCTCCTTCACTGCGTTGCAAACTTCTGACTGAAATTATAATACCCTATGCAACGGTATAAAAATACGTATTATAACTTTCATACTATTTTGTATTACAATTATACTTTTTCTCCCAGAGGTTTAGTATAAATTTTATACTGTTTCGTTTTTTTTTTGTACAGAACTAGCTGTATAGAAATAGCAGTAAAAATGGTTTGGCTTAATTTTTAATAAATGTTATTATACATTTCAAAATTGAAAATAATAAATAACAAGAAAGGAAGAAAAATTCGGCAAGCCGAAGTTCATATACCCTTGCAGCTATTTCAAAAATTAAATATTCTTGAAAACAGTAATATTATGATTTACTTGCGTGTATGCATTGAAACTATGATGATTTGCAGCTCAATTATTTGAGTTCCTTAGGCAGCTTTATGATATCGTTTTCCGATTTTAATAAAATTAAAAGCGTAATTCTGAACTGTCAAATAATTAAATAATCAAAAAGAGTTTCTAAAAAATATTACAAAATAATAAAGTTAAATGTTGTAAAATTTTTTAAAAAAAATTTTATTGTTCCTATGGCAGCTTTATGTTATAGTCGTCCGATTTTGATGAAACTTAAACCGTAATTGTGAAATATTTAATCATAACTATATGTCGAAGAACTAAAAAAAAATTAAAAAACAGCAAAGTTATAATTTTTTTAATTTTTTTCCGATTGTTCCTATGGGAGCTATATGCTATAGTCGTCCGATTTTGATTAAATTTAAGCCGTAGTTCTGAAATATTTAACCATTACAATATGCCGAAGAACTAAAAAAAAATTAAAAAACAGCAAAGTTATAATTTTTATACCCTTGCAGAGGGTAATATAATTTCAGTCAGAAGTTTGCAACGCAGTGAAGGAGACATTTCCGACCCTATAAAGTATATATATTCTTGATCAGCATCACTATCAGAGTCGATCTAGCCATGTCTGTCCGTCCGTCCGTCTGTCCGTCTGTCAGTCTGTCCGTCTGTCCGTCCGTTTCTACGCAAACTAGTCTCTCAGTTTTAAAGCTATCTGCATGAAACTTTCCCAAAAGTTGTCTTCTATTGCAGGTAGTATATAAGTCGTAACGAGCCGGATCGGACGACTATAGCATATAGCTCCCATAGGAACAATCGGAAAAATAAATAAAACAAAATTATAACTTTGCTGTTTTTCATTTTTTTTTATTTCTTCGATATATCGTAATGGTTAAATACTTCAGAATTACGATTTAAATTTCATCAAAATCGGACGACTATATAATATAGCTCCCATGATCAATCGAAAAAATAAACAAAAAAAAAATATAACTTTGTTGTTTTTTTATTTTTATTTTAGTTCTTGGAGATATAGTAATGGTTAAATATTTCAGAATTACGTTTTAAATTTCATCAAAATCGTACGACTATAGCATATAGCTCCCATAGGAATAATCATAAAAATAATAAATAATAATAATAATTTAAACATATACGCAAGTAAATCATAATTTAAACGTTTTAAAGAGTATTAAGTTTTTGAAATAGCTGCAGGGGTATATAAACTTCGGCTTGTCGAAGTTTGCTTCCTTTCTTTCTTTTTTTTTTTTTTAATTCTTTTTGATTTATTAATAATTTGACAGTTTAGAATTACGCTTTTATTTTTTATTGAAATCGGAAAACGGTTTCATATGGTTGCCATAAGAACTATCGAATAACTAAGCTGTTTAATGAATATTTAATTTTTGCAATAGCTACAAGGGTATATAAACTTCGGCTTGCCGCAGTTTTTTTCCTGTCTTGTTTTTTATTCTTTTGGGTATAGTAATGGTTTATTAACTTAGAATTAAGTTTTTAACATTTCTCAAATCGGATAACGATTGGTGTCATGGGATCGATCACAAAGTTGAGCTAAAAATCATCACAGCTTCAATATTTTTAAACATATACACATATAAGTTCAATATTTAGATGTTATAAAGAATAATAAATTTTTGCAATGGCAGCAAGGGTGAATAAACTGTGAATTGCCGAAATTTCTTTCATTCTTGTTAACATTTCTTTACATTCTCAGAACTGCGACCCGGATACCGACGTCTGCTGCACCTACCAGGTGTCGCTCACAACCACAACCACTCCTGTGCCGTTTGAATCTTGTCCTCGCGATTCGGACTGTGTGGCCCCGGAAAACTGTCGTAATGGTGAAATAAGTGCTATCAACTACGTAAAAAAACAAGGGGTAAGTGCCTTCTTGTGACTTCTAAAAATCGGTTGCCACAAAATAGTTGAGCAAGTCATTGGCATCAATAGTATAAAGGGTTTTCCCATTCAATCGGCTTGTGTAGATTCTATTGCTAAAGTAGCTTAGCTACATTAATGTTTTAACAGTGACAGATAAACAACCCACATAAAGCGACCCCAGCAGATGCAACTGACTCTACCGGAATCAGACCCGACTGCAACAATCGCAGCACATTTCTCAAGCCCGGCACACGAGGAGACCAAGAAAAAATCAACACAGCAACCGAAACAACGACAGCTTATTAGCACACAATTAGTTTTAATGTCTGCTCTGATTTTTCACTTGGGAATTTCTGAATCCGAAAACGACAAATGGTAAAGGTTTCGCTGGACGGTAGCTAGATTTGTTTGACTTGGTCGTTGATTTGGTACTTTTTAATACCTTTGCAGAGGACAATACTTCTATACTATAATTCCGACAATAAAAAGTAAATTTATTCTTGAGCAGCAATTAATAATTTAATCTCACTAAATCGAATTTTTGTTGGAAAATCGACAAATCTTGCTTTTTATACCCTTGCAGAGAGTATTAAAATTTCAGTCAGAAGTTTGCAACGAGGTGAAGGAGACGTTTTCGACCCTATAAAGTATATATATTCTTGATCGGCATCACTAGTAGAGTCGATCTAGCCATGTCCGTCTGTCCGTCCGTGTGTCCGCCTGTCCGTCCGTTTCTACGCAAACTAGTCTCTCAGTTTTAAAGCTATCTACATGAAACTTTCCCAAAAGTTGTCTTCTATTGCAGGTAGTATATAAGTCGGAACGAGCCGGATCGGACAACTATAGCATATAGCTCCCATAGGAACAATCGGAAAAATAAATAAAAAAAAATTATAACTTTGTTTTTTTTTAATTTTTTTGTTAGTTCTTGGAGATATAGTAATGGTTAAATATTTCAGAATTACGGTTTGAATTTCATCAAAATCGGACGACAATATAATATAGCTCCCATAGGAACAATCGAAAAAATAAACAAAAAAAAATTATAACTTTGTTTTTTTTAATTTTTTTGTTAGTTCTTGGAGATATAGTAATGGTTAAATATTTCAGAATTACGGTTTGAATTTCATCAAAATCGGACGACTATAGCATATAGCTCCCATAGGAAAAATCGTATAGCAGCCATAGGAACTATCGAATAATTAAGCTGCAAATCATCATAGCTTTAATGTGTTTAAACATACACGCAAGTAAATCATAATTTAAACGTTTTAAAGAGTATTTAGTTTTTGAAATAGCTGCAAGGGTATATAAACTCGGCTTGCCGAAGTTTGCTTCCTTTCTTGTTTTATATAATATACGTATATACTCAGAGATATAATAATTATGCTATTAAAAAAATTAAACCGGCTCAAGTTAACAAAATTTGGACGACTATTTCTCGTAGCTGCTATAAAAACGGCCTTGTATTCAATAGATATCAGAATATAGGCATAATTTCATTGTTTTGAGACATATTTGGATTGAGGTATATCAACTTTCGCTTCCCGAAGTTGGCTTATTTTCTTGTTAAATTTTATTTGTTGGTAGCCCTAGCATTGACATTGCCACAAGGCGTAGATTTAATTTTAAACCCTGTGACAGCGGTAACGAACTTGACGCCACCAGGCAGCAATCAAACTGGAATGCAGTTGAACCTCAAGTAGTACCTTACACACACAGCCGAGTCAAAAAAGTGTTAAATTACGGCCTACCAGACGAAACATACATTCAGGGTATATACACAATGGTTTATATGTATGCATATGTAGGCAGTGTGTAGATCGGTTCATCAGCATAGCATCAGCACCGCGTACAAGCCAAGACTCGGAAAGACGGGCAGGCTAAGAGAGATCTCAGATTTTCACCAGTCCAGCGCAATTGCATAATTTGCCTACATGCAATGGCCGGAAAACCGGGTTGCGTACGGTGCTGCATGCAATGCCTGAAAAAATGAGCGCAGAAAGTGAATTATGCTGCAACGCAACAGCTGCAGGTCAACTTCAGAGAAATCATTGCAGCCATTTTCTGAAATGCCAGGTTGGCTTGTTTGGTACTGCTTGCTACCAGTTCTAACCATTTTTTAAGATCAACTTTAGTATTTAGTATTTATGTCGAGATAAACTGAACGCACACACACGTAGACTTTAACTTCTCAAGGCGTTAATAAGAGTCGAGGACCTACGACCATCAAAACATTCCTCGTGGCCCCTCATTTCGGTGTATGACTTCCCCGATGTCAGCAACCACCACACCATAATGGCACTGCTCGTTAAGTAATGCAGTTATTGACGTCAATTGCGTGGCGTGCCACAAGGCACTGCAGAGTACGAAAGCGACAGCCAAAGCAACAGCTATATTATCAATAATATGACTATAGTGAGGCAAGAGAAGATAAGAGGGTAAATGACTTGTGTAGTTTCGCAGTGAAAAATGCAATGAATGCCGGCAAGGTCGCTAGATCTTGGGAGTGAGTACGGCATAATAAACAGAGGGCGAACCAAGTATGAAAAATCAATCTGGCATGAGACTGGGAGAAATGTTTCTTCTCCATTGGACACAAGTACTCTTCATATCAATTAATGATACTTTATTCTCCTTTTGCAACCCGGATTTTGTTTGGAGCACCGATGACTGAGAATTAACTTTTTTTGAAACGATAAAACTTAAAAGAATATATAATGAGAATATTTTTAAACATAACTTGTAAAACTAGCACGAAAATTTTAAAATGATCATTTGGATTGGGCCTACAGACTTCTGTGAGGTTCACGTAGAGGTTGATTGTTTGTAAATGTTGTTATAATTAAGATAACCAACGCTAAACGTTTGAACTACAATTAAATGTGTACATGTAAGGGGTCGCAAAAAACAGCCATTGTGACGGACAAAGTTCAAAATCAACTGAATTTCAATAATTACACCCTTCTAATTTCGTCCGTCTGTCTTTTAGTTTTAAAGTTATTTGCAAGAAACTTTCAGAAAAGTTATATTTTTGTTTTATTTAACTTATCACTTTTATTGTATTGTTATACCCCTACAGAAGGTATTATAATTTCAGTCAGAAGTTTGCAACGACATGTCCGACCCTATAAAGTATATATATCAGTATCGCGAGTCGATCTCGCCATGCCCGTCCGTCTGTCTAGTCCCTCAGTTTTAAAGCTATCTGCGTGAAACTTGCCCAAAAGTTGCCTTTCTATTGCAGGTAGTATATAAGTCGGAACGAACGACAATAGCATGTAGCTCCCATAGAAACAGTCGGAAAAAAATTATATATTTGCTGTTTTTAAATTTTTTTTTTTAGTTCTTCGACGTATTTCAGAATTATGGTTTAAATTTCATCGAAATCGGACGACTATATCATATAGTTCCCATGGAAACAATAAAAATATTTTGTAATTTTTTTAAAAAAATTATTTTGACTTATTAATAAATTGAAAGTTCAGTATTACGTTTTTAATTTTATTAAAATCGGAAAATGATTTCATAAAGCTGCCATAGGAACTATCGAATAATTATGCTGCAAATCATCAAAGCTTCAATGTTTTTGAGCTTATACGCGAGTAAATTGTAAATTGAATGTTGTCAAGAATATTTAATTTTTGCAATAGCTGCAAGGGTAGATAAACTTCGGCTTGCGAAAGTTTGCTTCCTTTCTTGTTTTTGGATATAGTAAAGGTTGAATAATACAGAATCACGCTTTTAATTTTATTCAAATCGGAAAACGATATAATATAGCTACCATAGTATCGATCGATTAATTTAGCTAAAAATCATCATAGCTTCTATGTTTTTAAACATATACACATATATATCGAAATTAAAAAGTTTTAAAAAATAATTTGTTTTTGCTATAAGGGTACATACTATGCTTACTTTCTTTTTTTTTTACTAAGTATTGTGCTAGAATTTTGGTCAAATTTTGTTACTGCAATGACAATTTTTATACCTGGCATTTTTACATATGGCTGCAGATGAGAGAGAGAGAAAAATGGAGAACGACATCGGGGGGTGAGGATGCTGCACGCTCTTAGCTTTTATTGTTGGCTACAGATGGCGCCACCTAGACACCGATTGTTTTGTGGAAAAATATTTAATTTGAAATTTGTTAGCTGAGTATAGGTTACCTAATAGTCGGGGAACTCGACTATAGCGTTCTATCTTGTCTGTTGTATTTTTTGTTTGTAATTTTGAAGGACATTACGGATTTCTTAAATTAAAAAAATATTTCGTTTTTAGCTGTGAAGAAAAATATAAAAAAGCATAATATCTTTTTAGATATAAAAAGAAAAAGTTCAAAATTTGTTGTGAAAATGTCTTCAATTATATTTACTCCATCTTATTAAAGTTATTTTTAGATTTTTAATTTGTTGTACAAATCCAAGAAATAGTCACATTTCTTTAGCGGATTCATCGCTTTTGACTTCGTGATGTTTTGACAAAGCTGTAACAGGGCAATGCCGTAAAACACGTATGCCAACAAAGCATACGGAGAAAACAGAGTAGATCGAGCGCCTTTTGCATGCAGCAGATGGTTAAACTCAAGCTCTGAACTCAAGGTCTAGGTCGAGCTCGGGGTCTGGGTCTGAGCAAGCTTAGTCTCGCTGACTGAAAGTCGTTGACAGCGCTTAACATTTTTTCGCTCGTGGCCAACTGTGCAGACACGCTTTGTAGTGGATTTTTAGCTTCCTTTGGTTTAATGCGTATTTTATGATCATCATTATTGTTATGATTTTAATAGCTTCGACTGCCGACAGCGATCGTTACATGTCGACTTTGTCCGACTTTGTTATAATTAACATAAATGCGTGTTGTGCTGTTTACAATGACACTTTGACAACTAACTTCACTTATAATTAATTGGTTTTTGTGTTAGGCTACGTCCATATTCGTTGAGTTATTTGGCATCTAGTTCGCTCATAAAAAATAGGTTTTACACCCAGTCCTCTTCATCTAAGGCCTATGCATAAACTTCATCTTATGTACCATAAACAAAAGACTTAAGCGCCGAACTTGTGTCACAACTGGCTGACGACCTGCTTGCACTTGCACTTCACGGCCAACTCTGTTTTTTAGAATATTTTTCTCGGTTCAACTTGGCTCGGACTTAAGAAAACCACTTATAAAACGGCCAAATCAGAATCTGCCCACTTAATAGACATATAACTTTTGTGAAGAAAAAGAAGAAGAGAAGCAATGGAGTATTTAGTGCTGTGCTAGTGGCGCATTAGTGTAGTCATAAAAATAGTTTAATGTTTGCAGTGAAGCAATAGTGTCGTAAATTTCGCCGCTGCTCGTCACGGCTTGACCTTTTCCTAAGCTATAAAAGCGACCCAAACAGCCCGTGCCCATGGATTTTAGGTACGTATCAAAACTGTACGGCACCTTAAAATAATTAGTGTTCAACGATAGTCAAATTTCTTGGTGATAGAGACAGCAAAATTTAACTACAGACAGATAAAAAGTTACCTTGAAACTTCTGACTTAAGATAACCCGTTAGTTTTGGCAAATATATTCTATATTCCGCTTAGTTGCGATAACAACAAATAATATAATGTCGTGTCAGAATATAACATAATTGCCAAGAAATTAATTAAAGAAATGGTTTGATTTTTGGGTTTTTTTTTGGGTTGTAGACCCGAAAAATTAATTAGGTGTCTGCCATATCTCAGAACAATTATGTAAATTATGAGCATAAGATTGGGCGTGGCAAAGTTTTGAAATAATCTTGCGCTGCGTAAACATTACTAGAGCCTTACTTAGCCTTACTACTATTTGTAAGAAAGCTTCGTTTTATCTATAAACGGTAGGGATATGACGACGGTAAAACAACAATTTATTTAAGTCCGTGCTCTTTTTATACGAACCTTACATGATACCTAAGTGGATGCTATGGCCTATCACCAAAATTTTCGCTTCTGCTTTTTCAGTTTTTTCCACTAAACTTGGTAATTTCCCAAAATATACAAAATTTAATTATATATGCTTATAGTAAGCTCAACATTATTAACAAATTGCGCCAGACACTCTATGGGACATTAACAACAACAAAAATGGACAACTTGTCTTGTATGGTCAACAACAACATTTATTAAAAGCATTTTGAATTCTCCCCGCTCGCTTGCTGGTGGTGATTACATATTTTAGCTGTCGCTGGTACACCAAGAAGCTTAAGGTTTTTTTATGGAAGTTGTTATCTTGGCTAAAGATGATTGATCATAAGCTATGCAATGGCCAGCAGTCCCAGGTAATCGGAGCTGAGAGGCGAGGATTGATGGTGTACATGGATTTTGCCGGTTCAGAGACGCTTGTTGTCATTGATCAAACTTATGTGCCGTTTTCTGTCCTGCTTTCTCATGGGGCCAAGTTAAATAATAGCGTGTATTACATAAAACTAAATGCGTGCTCTGGCTTGAGCTCCTCCGCGATTGATGTCTACATTAAAATTAAATTTGGATTACGCTTAATTCATGAAAATTGCGCAGAGAGTCGCCAGTTGTGCCTAATGATAATGTTAAAAATTAAATGGGGCTGTCGCTGCTCGATCAGAAGGACAAGCTTTAATGACCTAAAGTAAGGCCAAGCTGAGACTACGACTTGTAAAACGGAAGCGCTTTTGTTTTATTTAATTATTTATATTATATTGATTTACCATGTCGACTCATATTCGGAGATAAAAAGACATGGTATTAGTAACTTCTGCCCACGGATTTGTTTTGATTAATTTTAAACAAATGAGCACATTATTTTTCCATTAAGCGTAGCTCTTATTGAATGTTGAAATACCAAATGAGCAAATAGTAGGCTGAGACCCTAGGTCAGTAGAGATTTGTTCATTTTGGGTATTTTTAACCCAATTATTCGATGGTAGCTGAATGATATAGTTTTCCGACTTGAATCAAATTAAAAACCTAATCCTAAATTTTTATCCAAAGGAAATGTAAATAAGTAAAAAATGGCGAAGTTTAAATTTTGTATTTAATAGTTTTTATACCCTTGCAGAGGGTATTATACTTTCAGTCAGAAGTTTGCAACGCAGTGAAGGAGACATTTCCGACCCTATAAAGTATATATATGTATGATTTTGATCAGCATCACTGGAGAGTCGATCTAGCCATGTCCGTTTTCCCGTCCGTCTGTCCGTCCGTTTCTACGAAAACTGGTCTCTCAGTTTTAAAGCTATTGTAAAGTTGTCTAAACTTGTGCACTTATCGTGCGGGCAGCACGGACGCTGCTATTGCTTACACCCGTCCATTGCAGACACTTTCAATGAACAATAGACTTGGTCGAAGAACTTGACAAACCATTTACAGCCACATCTGCAATTGTTTCTAAGTCTAGCCTTGTGTATGAGTCTGTACCTACATGTGAGTTCACAAAGTCCGCCCACGAAGTGTTGTATTGCACCATGAAACTGCTAAATTTCTCAGTTACCATTAACCCCAAGCGGAAAATTCATTGACAGCCAGCATTAGGCGTGTTAATGACCACATAGCGCATTGCCAGTCGAGTGGCCCCGTCCCATGCAGCACATGGCTGCGCATCTGGCCAGGCACATAATTGCACACTCATAGAATTTGTTTTCTTAAACATAAAAAATCGCCTTTGGTTTGGATTTAAGGGTGATTTTCCTATATTACAGAAATTCTTAAACAAATTTCTGTATTTTTGAAAAATTGAATTCCTTGAAAATTTCTTAAGCCCTTGAGCTTAGTGAGGAGTGATGGAACCTATTTTTATATCTGTTATCGGAAGTATAGTATATGTGTCGCCCCGACCACCATCTTAAATGTTTCTGTAACGAGAATGAAAGAAAATGTAATACGGTAAACTATATTGTTATGAAAGGAAACAAACAAAAAACTTTTACGTAGAGGACTCAAGCGGGGTTCGAACCGGGGACTTATTAGACGCATTAGTAGGTTGCGCCACACTGGCATCACATTCGACTATGCATTAAACCCGTATACGAATTCAAAGTGACAAGAAGTCAATAGAATTGCTTTTGTTAACTATTCTTTTATAGTCAGCTTAGTTACAAATTACAATAAAAACATAACGTTATCAAGAAGAAAACAAAAACATAATCAAAAAAAAAGATTGAATTAGCCAGTCGGGGATTTGAACCCGGGACCATAAAAGCTACGCATTGTTTGATGTTCCGAGGCATTTACCACCTAGATTTAACATTTTAGGAAAGTTTTCTATTCTTTGGAAAATTAAATTTCTATATATGAAAATATGTATCTAAGCTTAAGGGTGTTTTTTTCTTAATTTTAAGAAAGGCTAGTATATTTTTTTTCTGAAAGCTAGAAAATTTGACCTGTAAATTCTAAAGAATCGGAGAGCGGCAGCTTGGAAAAAAGTACCGTACATTTGAGACATAAATATAAAAATTCCTATATCTTAGAAAATATTTTCTAAAAATTATGTTTTTAGAAAAAATGTCTAAAACTTATAAATTATTTTGCATATATTATAAACTTTGTTTACATGTAGAAAAAAGAAAATTGTTCTATTTTTTAGAAAAATAATTTTTTGAATGCAGTCGGTTGCCGTTATATTGTGTTGGGTTGACACCCATAAAAAATAGATGAGATATTTCAATAACCCTTACTCGCTATTCTGTACAGTCCAATCGTTGCTCTTCGCCCGATGTCTGCTGCCGCATGCCCTCGACTACGCTAACCGAAGACGGGTATATCTTCAATCTGCCGGACAAGACCTTTGTGCTGCCAACGAACCCTACAGTACCGGCCATACGCACTACCCAGCCAGCGTACAACCCGCAGCCCACGACGGTGGTGTTAGCTCCCCGACCCACTAACGAGTATCTACCGCCCCCAACCACTCGACGTCCCAGCTATGAGCCGGTCCCGACGACCAGACGTCCGGTTTACCAGCCGCCTGCAACAGCCACCCAGTTGCCCCGCAGCTCGCCGACCAAATCGACCCAATCCAAGCCACGTCCCCAGCCGACGCGCCGACCCGGCAACGAGTACCTCCCGCCTGTGTCAGCCAACGAGATTCCACGCTTCGAACCTGACCGCGTGCCGCAATCCTCGAACGAGAAGCCGATCTACCGCGGGGAGGACCAGTTGTCGCCCCAAATTTTTCCCATGGTCCAGTCAGCGAGTACGCCAAAACACTTCGCTAAGTGCGCCTCAGCTCTCGTGTGTTCCTCCGAGAGCTTCTGTAACGCCATCGGAGTGCTTACCGATACCCCCGTTGAGCTGAGCCCCTTGGAGGCGGCATTTCGAGTGCCCCTCACCGACTGCCTGCAGGCGGAAAATGGCACTCCCGGCAAGTGCTGCCGTGACCCAAACTACGTGGACCCCTGGCCGGTCAACTTGGCCGGAGTTTGCGCAACAAGGAACAAACGGTAAATAGGCGTATTTTATCCCTACGCATACAACTACCAAACAGTTCCCTTATTTCAGAACGAAGCCCACAGGAATCAAAGATCTGGACGCCAACTTTGCCGAGATCCCCTGGCAGGCTATGATCCTGCGCGAATCGAGCAAGACGCTTTTATGCGGCGGGGCCATTATTGGAGACGAGTTCGTGCTAACCTCCGCCAAATGCGTAAACGGGTAAGTCGACACTTAATCTTGGCTCCTTCTCAAGGCAAAATAACTGAAACTCCCTTAGTCTTCCTGTGAGCGACATACGCATTAAAGCAGGCGAGTGGGAACTGGGCAGCACAAACGAGCCCTTGCCTTTCCAGCTGACTGGCGCCAAGTCCATCGACGTCCATCCCGCATTCGATTCCTCGACTAATGCCCACGACTTAGCCATAATTCGGCTTGAGAGGCGCTTGGAGTTCGCTACCCACATCCAACCCATTTGCATCAGCGACGAAGACCCAAAGGCGACCGAGCAGTGCATCACTACCGGCTGGGGAAAGCAGGCCTTATCAAGTAAGTGCTTTGGAATACACGAGTATAAAGCAAAACAAGAAAAAAAGTCAAATTCGGCATGCCAAAGTTATATACTCTAACATCAAGTGCAAAAATTTAATATTACCATCTCAAAATATAAAAAAAACAAGAAAGGAAGCAAACTGCGGCAAGCCGAAGTTCATATACCCTGTCAGCTTTTGCAAAAATTTAATATTCTTGAAAACATTAAAATAACGATTTACTTGCGAATATGTATAAAAACATTGAAGATATGATGGTTTCCAGCTCAATTATTTAATAGTTCCTATGGCAGCTATATGATATCGTTTTCCGATTTGAATAACATTAAAAGCGTAATTCTGAGCTATCAAATCATTAATAAGTCAAAAGAATTTTTTAAAAAAATTACAAAATTGACAAGTTACATTTAAAAAAAAATTTAATATTTTTATTGTTCCCATGGGAGCTTTATGGATTAGTCGTCTGATTTTGATGAAATTTAAACCGTAATTTAAAAAATATTAAACAATTACTATATGTCGAAAAACTGGAAAAAAATTAAAAAACATCAAACTTATAACGTTTTTTAATTATTTTTCCGATCGTTCCTATGGGAGCTATATGCTATAGTCGTCCGATCCGGACGACTACCTGTAATAAAAAGACAACTTTTGGGAAAGTTTCATGCAGATAGCATTAAAACTGAGAGACTAGTTCGCGTAGAAACGGACGGATGGACGGTCAGAGGGACAAACCGAGATGGCTAGATTGACTCTCTTAATGATGCTGATCAAGAATTTATATACTTTATAGGGTCGGAATTGTCTCCTTCACTACGTTGAAATCTTCTGACTGAAATTATAATACCCTCTGCAAGTCGAGTTCCCCGACTATTAGATAACCGTTACTCAGCTAACAAACTTCAAACACAGAACAATCGAAGTTTGGGTGGTGCCCTCGCCATTCGCTAACAGTTCTCTCGTTCTGTTTCTCTACATCAGCGATCACCGGCAGAGCGGCGGTAGAGGACTTAGAAACTTCTAAAATTATAGCCTAGATTTTGAAAATTGTGTCTACCGATAGATACACACACACGCATAGAGTCCAATAGCTAGGGTCTAACATGTCTCAGAGTGACGTGACAGACTTTTGCCATTCGTCAGCGTGGCTCCGTTTTGAAATAAACTTGCGCTGCGCAAGAACTACATACTAGAATTGCTTCTACAGACGGACAGACAGACAGGCGGCAATGGCTAGATCAACTAGGCTATTGATCCTGATCAAGAATATGTATACTTTACTGGGTAAACTAAACTGGTATAGTTATAATTTTGTTTAGACTTATTTTTGTAAATATACCCATGAAGAGGGTTATAATTTCAGTCAGAAGTTTGTATCGCAGTGAAGGGGATAGTTTCGACCCTATAAAGTATATCTTTTCAGCATTGTGTAGTATGCAATGTTGATAGTATACAAGGAGCTGATGGTGATCTTTACTCTAAGGCTCAACTTTATACACATTTTATAGTATTAATATCGCGTGCTGTTATAAGGAAAAGTAAAAATGAAAGGAAAAAGAACAGCCAAATTATGGGCATAGGAAGCTAAGAAAATAAGATAAGGCATGACAAGACATACCACTGTGGTGGTATTCAGTGCCCTTATCCCCACCCTACCATGATCACCTTTCGCATAGCCCACGGCCTTGTATCCTTTTATTTCATGGGCTCCATTATGTTCGGCAAGGCTTCCATAATTTTACGCTCTAGATAGATTTCATATTCATATATTTATTTATACGACTCATTTCAAGACTTATTCTTTACTAAAATGCTCTACAAATAATTTTTACTTCATTTTATTTAATTAATATTAACTCTGTTTACTAGATTAAAGATTTTAATAAAAGGCACGGGCTCAGCAAGAGCAAATACACTGCTGTATGATGAGAAGTAGATAAATAAAATAATAATGTGCAAAAAGTTGAAATATTTTATAAGAGATAAGGCTATAAAAGGATTTATATTCAGCAGCATCCAAGGTATCGATATTGACAATAATTTTTAGATTCTAAAATAACCAGCAAAACAATAAGCAAATTCGTTAATGCTTTAAATATATATATGTTTTTTTCCTGTTTTCCTCCGAATAGTTCTGCGATATATGTCATCATTATTTATATTGTTAATTGTCTATGATTAATACACCGTTTAACATGATCAAAAATCAAAACCAAATCCAGAGATTCGCTGCCCGTTTTTTTTTAATCAAAAATCAATGCAAAGTTTTCTTTCGCTCGCAGTCTGAGTCGAGTTTGGGGTTTACTTTTACAATTAATATGTCTTATCTCGGATGCAAAGTCGCGAGCAAAACAAAGGAAGAATGGTGTTTAATTGTAGTTTGTTTAACTGGAGTTTTACAACTTACGATTTTGCTGGAACATCGACGAAAGATCTTTCGGCAGGTGCATCTGAATCAAGTTTTAGGAATTGGGTTTGGTTTTATATGTTATTTTGTCTTTACATTTCGTTGCTCAATCACGTCGATTTAGATAGTCACTATTTTTTTAATATGTTTTTGTACCATTGTTTTACGGAAATATTTATGGTTTATAGTTACTTTATCTTTTCACAGATTTTACTTTTTGATTTTGCACATTTCACACTTGCCTGCAGACATTTGCTTTTTATTTACCGCGTTGCCAATATTCACGTAAGATATTAATATCCAAAAAAATACAGCCTTAACTAGCGAGTCAATTGCTGCTTCAGATAATATGCCTATATACACTTTTCACATTTGGAGCGCTAGTGTTTTCGTGCTCCTTCTAATACGGGTAAAAAAAATAGTTATGGGCGCAACACCAAGCTCAGCTGGGTCACACACACTTTTGCCCACAGCGCTGGACTTCTGCGCTGCTTCTGCACTGGCATTTGCGTTGGCTTGCAAACCGCGTGATTTTGGCTTTGACGCGCAACTACTTTTTGAAGTGATCGCAATGCTGAACGTTTGAAATGCGGCAAGTAATATCTTGTTGTGCTCCTCGTAGATATGTAAATATATGGCCTGTAGGTCTCTTGCGACTGCTGCGTAATGTGAACGACAAAGTCTCCGATTGGGTCTGTATAGGTCTTAAATTTGGTCGATTGAATACAGCTAACCATTTTTAATTCAAGGCAATCAATATTTTAAAATCCCTTCTTGGTGCCAATCTAGTATGGAGGACAAAAATTAGATTTGGCTGTGTCTAAATCTATTAAAATTGTATTACCCTTCTCGGATCTGGCACAAACATTTAACGAGCTTTTTCTGCATATACACTTTTCCAAAATTCAGCCTTAAAAATTCGTATTTTTGCTGAGCAGACGGATACGATGAACACTTTAAGGTTAAATACATCTGGGAATGGCATTCACCAGATCACGTCTGTTTCGCTTGATATTTGAGTTGGAAAATAATGAGGGCGGAATATGCCAGGTATAGCTAGCCTAGATCCGGAAGCTTAAATCACGTTTTCCTGACGTTTCAAACCTTTCCAATATCGAGTGCGACCTTCCCTATACATTGTATACAACACTTCTGCCATATACAAAAACCAAAAATATATCTTAGTATATACTCTATAACGATCGGGTTTAGATTTTATTAATATAAACATAAGCTGTTCGCCATAAGCAAAAGTTGACTTCCTATTGCAGTATATAACGAATCGGATCGGACACCAATAGCATATAGCTCCAATTGGAACAAAAAAAAATATATATATAACTTTGCTGTTTTTTTTAGCGTCCATAATTAACGCGTCTATAGAGCTTACCTAAAGTAAATACTCATAATATAGCTGAGGCCAAATAGATAAAAACTGGGAAAGATTATAATTTAAAAAAAAAAATAATTACTCACGGTTCGATTCGAACTTATAATTTGGCTCGCGGCGAATTTCTGAATTATTTCTCTCGAGGCGAGAAATTGATTGGTTATTTAGGAAATTTATTACAAAAGTTTTGTTGCATAGATTTTAATAGTTTTGCTTATTATTTAAAGATACATGTTTTGCATTATAAATTTTGTTTTTAAACTTGAAAAAAAAATGTTCCTTAAACTTGGAATGTGGTTTTCATAACACATGTAAAAACTGTAGTGATCCCGCTTAAGTGACGTTTTGCAGAGCGTTGTTTCGTTGTTACGTTGACTATGATTTCCCCATGCTGATTTTTTATACCCTTGCAGAGGATATTATAATTTAAGTCAGAAGTTTGCATTCCGACCGTATAAAGTATATAAATTTTTGATCAGCATCGATAGAAGAGTCGATCTAGACATGTCCGCCTGTCCGTCCGTTTCTACGCAAACTGATCTCTCAGTTTTAAAGATATCAGCATGAAACTTTCCCAAAAGTTGTCTGTCTATTGCAGGTAGTACAAAAGTCGGAACGAGCCGGATCGGACGACTAAGGCATATAGCTCTCATAGGAACAATCGGAAAATTAAATATAAAAAAAATATAACTTTGTAGTTTTTTTAATATTTTTTAGTTCTTCGATGGTTAGTAATGGTTAAATATTTCAGAACTACGGGATAAATTCCACCAAAATCGTACGACTCCCATAAAAATAATAAAAAATATTAAAAACATTTTTATAAAATCGTAACTTTTCTATTTTGTAATTTTTTAAAAACTCTTTTTCACTTATTAATAATTTGACAGTTTAGAAATACGCTTTTAATTCTATTGAAATCGGAAAACGATATCGTATAGCTGTCATAGGAACTATCACATAATTGAGCTGCAAATCATCATAGCTTCAATGCTTTTAAACATATACGGCAAAAAAATAATTTTTATGTTTTCAAGAATATTAAATTTTTGAAATGGTTCAAGGGGTATATGAACTTCAACTTGCCTTTAATTTTTTGTTTAATTTTGCAATTAGCAAAATTTAGGCGCTATAAAAACAAAACAAAAATAATATCGAAAATCGTACTCGGCCAAATATAGCGGTAGTTTTTGGAACCATTGAAAAAAAAATGATGAAAATCGGCCTAGTTCTTCTGTAAAAAGTCTTACTCGGCAGTTAAAAAACACTATTTTTTGGGAAAACGCGTTTAAGGGTAAAATACGGTGCATAATTGATTGAAATATTTACCTTGGCAGGTAAAATACGGTGCATAATTGATTGAAATATTTACCTTACAGTTGGCGGAAACAAGTGAAAAAATATTATTTCAACAAAATCCTTCTTGCTGAGATAGATGAAATTAATGAATTAAAAAATAAATCGGTTGTTTTAAAACTGTGAGAGTAGAATACCACCTTAAGGTTGTATTTTGTTCTAAAAATTTGAAAAAATCGATATTTTTCTTGCATTTTTTTAAAGCTTCGATATTTTTTAAAAATATGGTCCTAAAAGGATTTTTCAAAATTTGAATTAGTTTTGAAGACACAGCCAATTTTGTGACGTGGCTTCCAAGCCATTTGCCATTGTGTCCTAAACTTCAAACGCGTTTTTTTCTTGAAACTACCATGTTCTACCAAATCAATTCCCTTGAAATTTGGTATGTATCTTGTCTGTCTCTCTCTACCACAGACCTTAAAAAATGTTTTTTATAAGTAATTTTAAAATATTCGAAAAGTACGAACAAATTGGTTAAAAAACATTTCTTGTTTTCAAGTCGACGCCATTTTGTAATTTTTATTTTTTTTTTTTTAAGTGGTCAACCCGATAGCGGCATCTTTACTAATGAAAATTTGGTTTGATTTTTTTTTACCAATATCTACAATGCCAACCATGACGCACCATTTTTTAAAGTCCCCACTCCTCCGGCTTGTAACTCGACGAATTTTGGTTTTTTTTTTCTACAAAAATGTTTTTCTTTTTTCTTCAATTTTTCGTTTCTACATTCCGGTCCAATTAGTTACTGATATGACTGAGGCCAGGCATCAATAATTTCATTGGTTTTTTTTTTTTTTAATTGCTGAGTCAATTAAAAATTTGTTTTTTTCTTTTCCTCGGCGCTACACTGACTCATTACTTGTGTTCGTGATCTTTTTTAGATGTGATGGTAAATGCACTGCCAAAAGGTAGTTTTGTGCACCCCTGAAAGAGGTGTGCATGCAAATATGTATAAGTATTGGCGCATAAGAAGTTCAGCGAAGTGCTGTAAAATTTTATGTTTCCTTTATCGGGAGCCGATTCTAGCGTTTTTCTTCCCCGTTTTAACCGACCCAGATCTAACTATACCTTTCTTTCCGTCCGACAGTTCATGAAGAGGGCGCTCTAATGCACGTGACGGACACTTCGACGTTGGACCGGAGCGATTGCGGTTCCGACGCCAGTAGTGTGTGCAGCGCCACTAAGTTCGACGCCTGCCAGTTCGATGTGGGCAGCGCCCTTGTCTGCGGCACCGGCTCCAACGTCCGCCTCAAGGGAATCTACGTCGGCGAGAACTCCTGCGGAGTCGGGCAGGCAGTCCGCTTTGCCAAACCGGACATAAAGTGGATAAACACGGCGTTTGCCGACAGAAACAAGCCTCTCTTACTAAATCGGTTTTAAACTGGACTCTGACTCGGGTTAGGACCAGGAAGGCAAAAGATACGAACGACAAAGGATCGGCACTCGAGCTTGCGTAACTGAGCTGAACTACTACAAAAATTTACCCCATCACCATAAGCAGCCTGAGTATATACGCCGTAGACCCAGTTTTCACCCTTTACGTTCTGTCGAATTACATAGATCGAATTCATAGATCATACATGCCGTTAACATGTATTGCGATATGTAAAATACTTATTTTAAGCTATATATTCAACAAATAATTTTGGAGATATCAACTTACCGCAGTTCAATCACAGTTATATTGAGATTATATAAATATTTCATTACGAAGAGTAAGTCTAAGGATGTGCACTTTCTAGCGTAGGCACCACCTGTCAACCGCACAACCACATTTATACATCATATATAAACTGTTATTTAAAGCCTTTCCTATATCGTTCACTGAATATGTTAATATGCCTAAAAGTTGTATAAATTGTCTACGTGTCTAAATTTAGTTAATAATTTAATTACTAAATAAAGAAAAACGATTAAGATAAACTGTTTTATATAACACCTTCAGAGGATGATAAGGATATAGAATTAGATAAACTGACAAGTTATGAAAATGTTCTTCCTCAAATCGGACTAAATTACCAAAAAATAGTGGGAAACGCTTCTACCTGTTACATCCATTTCGAAAAATCCAAAGAACCATTTTACCTTATGAGAAACCTAGCAGAGTTGTGTAATTAAGTGATTGCATTGCATTAAAAACAAAAAGGAAGCAAACTTCGGCCAGCGGAAGTTCATATACCCTTGCAGCAATAGTAAAAAATAAAATATTCTTGAAAACATTTTAATTTTGATTAATTACTTTTTATACTACCTGCAACAGAAAAAACAAAATCATTTTTAACAAGAAAGGAAGCTAACTTCGGCAACCCGAAGTTCATATACCCTTGCAGCTATTGCAAAATTTAAATGTTCTTGGAAACATTTAAATTATGATTTACTTGCATTTATGTTTAAAAACATTGAAGGTATGATGATTTGCACCTCAGTTATTCGATAGTTTCTATGACAACTATGAGATATCGTTTTCCGATTTTAATAAAATTAAAACCGTAATTCTGAACTGTCAAATGATTTTAATCATTTAATAGTCAAAATGAATTTAAAAAAAAAAATGACAAATTAAAAAAGTTACATTTTTTTTAAATTTTTTTCCACGGGAGCTTTATGTTATAGTCGCCCGATTTTGATCAAAATTAAACCGTAATTCTGAAATATTTAACCATTACTAAATGTCGAAGAACTACAAAAAAAAATTAAAAACAGCAAAGTTATAATTTTTTTCATTTATTTTTCCGATTGTTCCTATGGGAGCTATATGCTATAGTCATCCGATTTTTATGAAATTTAAACCGTAAATCTGGAATATTTAACCACTACTATAAGTCGAAGAACTAAAAAAAAATTAAAAACAGCAAAGTTATAGTTTTTTTCATTTATTTTTCCGATTGTTCCTATGGAAGCTATATGCTATAGTCGTCCGATCCGGCTCGTTCCGATATATATCACCTGCATAGAAAGGCAACTTTTGGGAAAGTTTCATGCAGATAGCTTTAAAACTGAGAGACTAGTTTGCGTAGAAACGGACTGACAGACGTACATGGCTAGATCGGCTCTGCTAGTGGTGCTGATCAAGAATATATATACTTTATAGGTTCGGAAACGTCTTCTTCACTGCGTTGCAAACTTCTGACTGAAATTATAATACCCTCTGCAAGGGTATAAAAATGTGTAAGCTTTTTTTTTTGTGGTTTAAGTTGCCGCAACACCCGTAAGTGCCGTGGAGTTATTTGGCCGCCCTCGCGAACGTGGAAATCGCCAAGTTCTTTATTTGGTTACTGGTTGGTTATTCAGATGCTATTTAATTTTTTCCAGATATTCAATTATAATTTGGTATGAGTTTGTTGGTTCGTGTTTAAAGAAATGGTAAATGTCGTGGTATTTTTTTAGTGTTGGGTAATTTTGTCTTGCAGAGTTGTATTTGGAACAGCTGAATATGATGTGCGATGCGTTATCGAAATCGTTGCAACTGTCACATCTGTTATTGTTTACTACGTGCATTTTGTTTAAAGTATAATTGTCAAAAGCGTTACCGCTCATTAATCTGTTTATGATTTTTATACACGAAGGCCTGAGGTTGCAGTTCAAGTTGTTAAACCAAGGTTTGTTTAGCGTTGTTGGGAAGAGTTCGCAGTAACCCCGCTGTTTACCACTAGCGAATTCGGCGTACTCCTTGTTCCAGTCCTCCTGTATTAATCTGTGTATTTCAGCTGTGGCATCTTTTATGCTCCATCCCACTACGGTGAAGATACCGTGTGAAGGAGCGTTTTTGGCAGCCAAGTCCACGAAATCGTTTTGGGTTATGCCAGTGTGGCTGGGTATGTAATGGATTTCAACCGCCACTATTTGAGGATGATTGGCAATTTTCTTTCTTACATATGTTGCAGCTTATGTAGTTGTCGTGACTGGACTTAAGAATTGCAATTGCGCTGTTTCTGCTATCCGTCAAGAAGGCTACGCGAGTTATGCCCACCGAAACGACATGGTCGAGGGCCTTGTCAATCGCTTGCAGTTCGGCCGATAGAGACGACAAAATCTTGTTCGTATAGAAACTGGCTGTAAAATTCGAGCTATTTACTAGAAACGCTGCGCTTGAATACGTATCTGTTACTGACCCGTCTGTGAAAATGATGTCAAAGTCTCTATTCCTAAGAGATCCCATTTTTTCCTTAAATATTTGTAAAATACTAGTTGTATTCATATCACATTTGTATTTGGCTGTTCCCTTAAAGAAATCTAGGTCTACCCTTATTTTACTATTATGTACAGGTAATGAATCACAGATTTTGACTTGATCTAGGCTATGTTTAAAGTCCTTATATAGTATTAATTTTACTATTGGATACAAGTGTATCTTTGGCTGGCAACTCATGGGCAAAAACTTTTATCAATTCTTTTGCCGTTTGAAAACAAATTCTGTACTCGGGCGGAAGCTCTGCTGCCATGTGATATACTATCGGTACCGGTGTACACTTTATTAAGCCGAGTACGCGTCTAAGACTGAAATTAGTTTGTACTTTTATTTTATCCATAGCTGTTTTGGACATTTTGCTAAATGAGGAACATGCATATTCTAGCCTACTTCTGGCAAACGCTTTGTATAGCAGAAGACGTTTCCTGGGATTTACCCCGAAAGTGCATCCACTAAGCAATTTTAAAAATGCACATGTTTTGTTTGCAGATGATATTGCCTGTTCAATGTGTGCGCATGGAGAATTATTGGCGGCTACTATTCGTCCTAGATATTTGATTTGCACTACATCTTTAATTGGAATTCCCTTATAAAAAACTTGAAGCGACTGTTTGCGCAGATTAAAGTGAATAACGCTGGACTTAGATGGATTAAAGGATAAATTTAGCTCACCACACTCTGTTTCAAACTCCGTAATTTTTTCTAAAATTATATCCCTTGCTCCTGAAAAGGTAGCATCGAAGCAAACCAGAAAGAAGTCATCTGCGTATTGAAACATTTCGCAGTTTTCGTCATTCAAACTGTGAAGATTTGCAGTATATAGATTAAACAAAGTGGGGCTAAGGGAACTACCTTGGCAGACTCCTCTATCAACTTCAAGGCGAATTTTCCCCTTGACAAGAACTCGTTTCCAAAGGAAGTTAGTTAACCAGGCAACATGATGTTGATTGAAGTTGAGATTTTGGAGTCTGGTCCCTAAGATTCCTATATCGACACAGTCAAAGGCTTTTTGCAGATCTAAACAAGCTGCCACTACCTGAAGTCCTTCTGCTTTTAAAGCTTGCACTTTGTTTATTAGATCTCTTATGCACACGGATGTGGATCTATGTTTCCTAAATGCATATGATCTATTTGGAAGCAGCCTATTTTATGAGATGTGGTGATCTAACTTGAGTTTAATAAGGCCCTCTGTTATCTTAAAAAGTACGCTTAGCAAGCAAATTGGCCTATAGTTATCTATAAATGATGAGTCTGCGTTTCTTTTTGGAATTGATACCACGTTTATCTCCCTCCAGCTTTCTGGTATCTGGCCAGACAGCCATACATTGTTGTTATCATTCGATACGATAACTTATCTAGTCCCCTTGCTGAGTCAGGCTTTCTTGAAGCTATAAATTCCAAAAAGTCATCTTACTCAAAAGGATTTCGGACATGGAATAGCTGATGCCTGTTAGGGTTGGGAGAGACTGCTATTGTAGATGGTGTATTTTTAATTGCATGTAAAAACTGTTCGTCTTCTTCTTCAGACCAAGTGTTGCCAGTTCGTTTTATCTGTTTATATTTTTTAAGATTTTTAATACTATTCCAGATGTTTGGGCTTTCCGAGATTTCATTAACAAATGATTGAAAATTGGATTTTCTTTTGTTACTAATATAGTTTTGAAGTGCCTTTTCTGCCTCTAGGGTTTTTTGGGCGTCTTCAAACTTTTTGGAGCGGTAGAATTTCTGCCTAGCAGCATTTCTTAGACGAAAAAGTTTTTCAGCTTCCTTACACCACCATTTTTTGGGTTCGTAGTTATTTTTTCCTGTTATTTTCACAGTGTTTGACTTGATTGACGCTTCTAGTGACTTGGTTATAGCTTCTATACTGGTAAAGTTGGTGTTTTCGAAATCAATTGCCACTTTGTCGTGGAAAATTTTAAAAGTATTTACTTCAGTACTGACATTATTAATAACAATTTCAATCGGGAAATGACTGCTGTTGGTAATTTTAACTTTGAAGGAACTCCATGAGATATTTAAGTCCCTTCTGTTACAAAAGGTGAGATCTAGTAACGAGAACTGAACAGGACTGAGCGAAAAGGTTGGCGAACCATCATTTAGGCAAACAAAACCAGCATCAAGGGATACTCTTGCCAATGTGTGACCCTTGGCATCACTGGTCAAGCTGCCCCATGTTGTTGACTTCGCATTGAAGTCACCACCAATAATGGTGGGGTTGGCCAATGCAGAAGCGTAGTTAAAAATGTTTTTAAGACCCTGTTTCAGATCGGTTACTGTGGTGGTTGGGGGGATATATAAGCTAAAAATATCAACATTCTTCTTAAGATTAAGAGTTTGAACTCCAATGTTTTCTATTAGATCAAATGATTTTAGAATTCTAAACTTGATGTTGTTGCGGATATAAATCCCAACGCCGCCATAGCTGTCATCTCTTGGTTTGCAATGAAATTTGAAATCTGGGATACTACAAACGGTATTATCCTTAACCCAGATTTCTGAGAGTAAAGCTATGTCAACGTTGTTATTTATTAGATACATATTAAGTAAGTGCTTGTTGTTAAGTTTGTTGAGGTTTTGAATGTTGATTTGAAGAATTTTCATTATGGTATTACAGTTTGATGGTGAGATTCAAATGAACTGGTAATCTGAAGTGCATCTAAATCCGCATTGCTCTTGTTCATGAAGTCTCTGATCTCAGTTAGAAATTTTATAACTATTGTGTTTGTACCTA